TTCCCTCTTCCAAGTCATTTCTTATTTGTACTTCGCTCCATTCAGACAACAGAATTTGCGAATCATATCAAAGTTGGACCAATCATTCCCGGAGATGATGATGATCGAGCGCTCACTCCTCCGTAACTTGGATAAAGGATTCATCGAATCGTTCACAGATTATATCACGAAATTGCGGTTATACATCCCTTTCATTTTATTGAAAGACAGACTCCTCATCGAACTCTCCGGCGAAATCGAACGGCCGGAGTTCCAAAAGATCTTAAGCGAGAAGACGGCGGAGTTCAAAAGGAAGTTCCCACACAAAGACGTCATCCCGACTTTCGATGGGTGTATTGAGCGGATGAGTAAACGAATCGATGAGATCGCGCAGTTCGCAAAAGACCTTGTGAAGCAATTGAAACAAACAGATGACAAGTTTTTGGCGGTCTATGAGATCCTGAAAACGGCGCTGAAGACGGAAGAAGAGATGAAAGAGTCGATCGTCGAGTATTTGGAATTGAACGACGTGAAGAATGTGGAGAAGAGGTTCTTAACTATCGCCTACAAGATCCACGACGGCAAACGGCGGATCAAATACTTTGGCGCGCTGAAGTTTGTGACGCCCGGGGAAGTCTCTAAAGAGTGGAAGATGTGCATTTTATTCAACGACATTTTGATCATCGCGCGTCCATTTGTCTTCGGGAAGAAGACGACACGAGAGCGCGAGAATTTACTTCGATTTGAGAATTCGCCGCGGGGAAGAGACGTCTCGGAGTTATCGGGGTATCGATTTAATGAAGAGATCAGAATACCAATGACTTCCCCCATTCAAGTGAAGAACATTGTTGACACAGAAAGCGTTCACAACGCTTTCATGTTCGAATGCTTTGGAATTAAAAAGCACTGTATGTGTGTGTCTATGAGAGAGCGCGACAATTGGGTCCAAGCACTTCTTGTGATGGATGGAGACAATGTCTAAGTATCTTTTGTGGTGTGTACTTTGTAATCGGATTTATAGTCATTGAAATGTATTCTATTTTTTAGTTTGTGGTACTATTTACTGTATTACTAGTCGTATAAATAGTTCTGTATTATTGAAATTGCAAGATTTACTATAATTGTTATCATTTGTTCGTCATACTCAAAACAATAGTTTTAATATCATAATATTATAATACTTATTCTTGAAATAATAATAATAATAATAATAATAATAATAATAATAATAACTAATGATAACTAATGATAACTAATAATAACTAATACAGTAAAAAGCATCTATTTGTAGGTTTTCAAACAGAGAAAAAATATTTATTTGTGGGTTTATCATGGAATTGTGAAGTAAATTCTTTTCACTATTTTATACATAAAAATGAAAGATATTAATGATATTAGAATATTTTAATTATAAAAATACTATAATTTTTATTTAAGTGTACCTAAATTCAAAGTTCGAGAGCAAAATAATTATTTGTGGGTTTTGCATTTGATTGGTCCATTGACCCACAAATATAAAACCCACAAATAGATGCTTTTTACTGTAATAACTAATAATAACTAATATCAATCAATTAGTATTGTCCTTGGAATGGTTGGTCTTGCATATACCCACCTTGGTATTGATTTGGGATAAAAGGTTTTTGTTGTTGTCTCATTTGTTGTGATTGGTAAAGTGGTTGGTTTTGTTGTTGTAAGAACATTTGCTGTTGTTGAGGTGGTTGGAATTGTTGAGGAATTGGAATTTGTTGTTGTTGAGGTGGTTGCTGTTGTTGTTTTTCGACTCGAATGAATTGTTTCCGTTCAGGCGGTATAATTCGGCCATTCTGAGAACTTTTGAATTGTTCCATAGAAACACCTGGTTGGACGTATGAATAAAACGACGCCCAAGCTGCTTCTGCTTCTTTCTCCTATTATATTAGACTTTACTATTCCATCAATTAATCAAGAGAATACTATTAATTATAATATATTTTATTATATAAGTATAGATATACAAGTACAAACATCCAAGAAAGGGAGTGCTCTTAAATAAGCCTTAACTGATAAGTCTCTTAATTCCATTCGAGCGAGAGTTTCTGCGTAGTCCTTCCAGATCAGCCACTTTCGTTTTTCCTAGTTATTAATTGACTCTACTCCCATGTTATCGATAGATAATCTTAGAGTTATAATTATAGTATAGTATATTATAACATATATTATACAGATATAAATTATAATTATACTATAGAATAGTATAAAGCTTATGATGATAACAAACACCAGGGAAGTTAATCAACGCTTCAAAGATAGTTATCACAACATCCTTATTACCTCGAGCGAAGAAGAAATCCATATATGACTTACAGACCAATTCAAGGTCTGAGAGTAGTTCTGGGTTATATGAGTCACTGAATTGATTAAAGAGATTATCAAGATCGACGATATTCAATTGGTTTGCGTTGATACTGGTGAACAGACTAAACTTAACGAGTTGTAATGACAACGGGAGATATGTGACTTTCAATTGGTCTTTGACTTGTTCGATCTTTTGTAAATAAGAAGATCTAGTATTTAAGTCGACACATCTCAATCTCAATTTAAAGTAATTTGCCCATAGAAATCCATCCTTATCGATCAGACTCAGACTTTTGTTCTGCGACGTTACGACCTGGAACAGAGTAGTAAATCGTGTAGTTCTTTTTATTAATAATGTTCGTAATGCAAATCTCTGCATTTCGGGGGTTTTCGTTTTGGCTTGTGCGAACAGTGTGAGTTCGAGTAAGTGATCTGCGTATCTTTTGAGCCACTTGTACACCACGTCACTTTTAAAATACAATAGTTTCAGAACTATAGACATTGTTTTTTCAAGAAAATAGAAGAGTGCCCCAAACGAAAGTGGCGAAACGTCGACAAACATATTTTGTTTTTGTCTGAGGTATTCCGTGTCCAACAAATCAGAAAATGTTTTAATGAATGGTGAGTTTTGGGGTTGACTTTTCGGTCGTTTTTGTAAAATTAACATTTTGCCGTGTTTTATTTCTTGGAAAAAAGTCGTTTGAATTTTAATTTCATTAAATCGAACTAAAATCCGTTGCGGGGACTGTTTATCGGGCAACGGCGGATAAAGGTCGTTGTACATCGAAAAGATGATCTGTTGACTCTGAGGGTCTTGAATCGAGTGGATGAGTGTCTCCCAAAGACTATTCATGTTCGGCGCCTGGCCTGTTTTCTCGATAATGTCAATTAAAAATCTACATGTTAATATCCACAGTCCTCGCACACAAGAAAACAAACTGTTCATATCGATATGGAGGAAACTTACTTTGAATAAGCTTCAATTTGTCGACGAGGAATATCGCAGTACTTGGGGAGGGGGGAGCAGAGAGGAGCCAAAGGGAGACTACAAAGAGGAACGCGTCAAAGTTCGTCTCAAACGCAATCTCAAAGTACCTACTCAGTCAGCTCTCGTTCCTCATTTTTGAATCACAATAACTCACATGATCTGTATTAAACTCTTATCATTTTGTAATTATAAATTATAAGTGAATAGGAAAGTGATAAATTTGAATTAAAAATGTATTGTATATGTATAGTTTTATTATAGTTTAAAAACAAACAATTTCCAGAGTTTTGAATGAGTGAAAAGTGGTGAAACGCTCATGATTTCCTTGAAGTACATTTTGACGACTTCAAAGTTGGATCGAATTGTATAAATATACTGCTTGAACTGTTCGAAGTTTTTTTGAAAGTCTTGAACAAGTAATTGTGTTGCGTTTTGTGGTGTGTTCATCGTTCCAACAGAATTTACTTTTTGTGATATCTCAAAATTTTCCATTTTCAACTAATAACATTTACAATAACAAAAAAATAACAAATAGTAATAGACTGAGTAAAACAAATTAAATAACACAAAAAAACAGTAAATTATTATAATAAAAAATTATAGAGATAAACTAGATGGAAGTAAGACGGGAAGGGTTCTTGGTATTAAACGTTAGGTTAAACTTGAAGGTTCAGAGTCATGTCCAAGATCTCAAGCGCTGTTTTGCACCAAAGCATCAATGAGATTTTGACCTCAAAGAAGGAGCGTAAGTTTATTGAGACCGTCGAGCTCCAATTGACCCTTAAGAACTACGACCCAGACAAAGATAAGCGTTTCGCCGGAACTGTCAAGTTGCCAAACCCAACCAAACAGAACTTCAAGGTCTGTGTTCTTGGAGACGCTGCTGCATGTGAGAACGCTAAAGCGTTGAATGTCCCATACATGGATGTCGATGGATTGAAGGCTCTCAACAAGGACAAGAAATTAGTCAAGAAGTTGGCTAGAAAGTACAACGCCTTCCTTGCTTCTGATACCGTCTTGAAGCAATTGCAAAAGATTTTGGGGCCAGGTTTGAACAGAGCTGGTAAGTTCCCAACCCTCCTTGGAAAGAACGAAGATATTAAGGCTAAGATTTTGGAGCTTCAATGCCAAGTCAAATTCCAATTGAAGAAAGTCTTGTGCATGGGTGTTGCCGTCGGAAACGTCACTTTGACTGAAGATCAGCTCTGCGCTAACATCGAAAGATCTATTTCCTTCTTGGTTTCTCTCTTGAAGAAGGGATGGCAAAACATCAAGTCTGTCTATGTTAAGACTTCCATGGGTCATGCCGTTAAAATCTTCTAAGCTATTGGCTCGAAGCGTACCAAACTATTTGGGAGCTTAATTTTGGACTTCTCGAAATTTTGGGTTTCTTCTTTCCTTTCTTTCTGGTTAAAACAATCACATTCACTCACTTTAATATCTCTCTTGCAGGGCTTTATATCAAACCCTTTTTTCTTTAATTTGCAAAATTTTTAAACTTTTTCACTCTCTTTTAACACTTAAATTGAACATAATTCAAGTGAACTAATAATCGGGAAATCTGGAGTTTATTAAATAATTTTCCTGATTTTTAGAAGTATATTATTTTAATATTTTTACATTAGTTAAAAAGGGAAAAACATCCAAAAAATGAGTAAATATCGTTTTTTTGACATTAAACATTTAAATTCCCAATGCAACAGGTGAATTAAATGGTTTAAAAGTTAATTTGAGTGTTAATTTCTTGCATTTTTTATGGTGCGATTAAAAAAATAAAAAAAGATACAAAAGAAAACTCACTTTTTTTTCCAAAACGATAAAATCACACAACAGAGAGAGAGATGTCACGTCTATGTCAAGAGAGCATCATGAAGTTAAATGGGAAAAAAATGTTAGACGATGAGATTATGAATTTTTATATAGATGTTCTTAAAAGGCGATATCCTTCCACCCGGATTGCCATTTTTTCGACCTTTTTTTTCGAGAAAATTCGACGAGCATTTTTAGATAATGTAGATAAAGAAAAGGAATATTTATCATGTGAACGTTGGCTTAAAAAAGCAGGGGTCGACTTCACTCAACTTGAATTCATATTTGTCCCCGTCAACTTTTCACGACATTGGACCCTTGTCCTCTTCTGTCTTCAAAGTACTCGAATTGCTCAAACGCACTTCCGCCCGTCACACCTCCGCGAAACTCTTGACGCGATGAACTCCGAATTTTTACGACTCTCCGTCTTACCCAAAGAGACGTATTACGACACCGTTTATGATTTAGTTAATCGAGCAAAAGAGGTCAGAAACTCTTTAGAACATCGAGAAAGTAACCCACAACTCCTTTTTGAGATCTCCGCTCCTTGTGCCTTCACATTAGACTCATTACCTATCACTCATACTATTCCACAAGATGCAGTGCTTCTAGCTTCAGACTATATTGTCTGGCAATACAAACGTTTCGGGATTAATTACAATCGTTCAGACTTTTTAATTAATGAAGTCGTCACTCCCAAACAGCGCAGTAGTTGGGAGTGTGGCGTCTTCGTTCTCTTCTTCATTCGAATCTTCGTTCAGTTTCATCCAAAGACTTTGCCAGAGTACATCGCACTCCTTCAGAAGTTTCAAGCGTCTGAAGAGAAGGAATTAGTGAAACAAGCGGCTGGTCTTTGAGTCCACAGAGAGTCATGTTCTTGAGAAAAAAGCGATAGAAGAAGTGTTAAATTAGTTCATAATTAATTAATTATAATTAATTGTTTAATTATAGTTTCTTGTGAGTTATTTTTATTTAATTGTATTATTACTAATATATTACTAATATATTACTAATATATTACTAATATATTACTAATATATTACTAATATATTACTAATATATTACTAGTATATAAGTATAGAACACACTTATGAGACAAAGTTACTAAGAAAACGACCACTAATTGAACTTGAAAAGTGTTTTTCGATTGATTTGCATGTTGAGCGACGTTGAGCGCAAAGTGTATCAAATCAAAAGTGCTGCGAAGTGGGCGGAGAAGTCGACTGATGTTGACTTTAATGAAGTGTATAGTGTGACACAGAGCAATTACGAGAAGATCATAGCGACGCTCTTAAAATTGCGGCACTACAACATCTCTTTGAAAGAGAACATCCAGAAGAAATTGGAGTTAGCACATGCGATGGTAGAATTGTCTGAAGAGAACATTGAGTTGAATACAATAGCTACTAAATATGTTACGACATGTCAATGCCTTTCACTTGGATTAGACGATTGTTTGAATCAAGAAGAAGAACACATCTTTTGGCAATTACGTGATTACACGGAACAATATAAAGTGCTGGAACAACGATTACTTCTTTTAAATAAGAGACATATTGATATGGACAGATTCCATAATAGTTACGCTGCAAATATTATGAAGAAGAAACCAAGCAAAAGTATTACACTGTCAAAGGCAAAGTACGAACAAGCTAGAGACTTCTTCTTTTACTTGAGAAATGAAATGATCGACGACATGAAGAAGATGAACGACAACTTCAAAAAGATCGTCGAACCACTCTTCGTACAAATCTTTCGTTCTGATCTGCTAACTCGCGATTTCCAAGTTGAGACTCTCAGAAGCTGGGAAAACTTCTTGCCGTCTTTGAAAGAAAAAGTCATCGAAGTCACTTGGCTCATCACACCAGACCAAAGCTCTTGTGTACTCCCAGAAGTCATTTATGAGAAGAGAAAAGATGATATCAACAGAGGGGGATATAACTTGAAAGCAACAAAAATGGTTGTCGAGAACGCTTTAATAAGTCCTGACTATATCACTGATATCCCAATGATGCCAATTAATGAAACACCACAAGAACATACTCAAGCTATTAATTCAATTCAACCGTCTCCAACTCGTTTGTTATTCTTAAGTTACTTGAATAGTATTATATCTTATTATAATACTATTATATTATTATATTATTATATTATTATTCATCATTAGAAATCATCGAGGTCGTCGAGACAAACACCGCAGACACTTTAAAACAATCCACCCCACAACCCCAACGATATAGAGTACTGTATGACTATGAAGCCACCGAAGATGACGAAGTCTCTTTAAAGAAAGATGACATAGTTCTTGTATATGTAAAGTCTGGGGATTGGTGGGAAGGTGAAGTGAATGGCCTTCATGGGCTTGTTCCTTCCAATTTTTTGTTTGCCGTCGATTAATTTTTCGATCATTCCGTCTATTCTTTTATTCACTCAATCTCAAATAAGATTGCATACAAAACAAATTAGTTATGAGGTTTTCTTCTTTGCGGAACGGAGAGGGACTTAAGGAGGGCCGTTTGACTTTTTTGTTGGCTGAAGCCTTGAGTATTTTGGTGTTGAACTGTCGTTTGTTGTTGTTGGACGTTGAAACACGGGAAACAACTCATCATCATACTTTGTTGAGTGCAACATGGCATGTATCCACTTTGACTTTGAGTATTGAATAGTAGAGTTGATTGAGTCATTGTCACCCTTTCATTCTCTTGTTGTAACAACTTTCCTTTTGCATTCAATTCCAACGGCGCCTTCTTCTTTCGTGGTGCCTGAAGTGTTTCTTGTTGTTTTCTATACTGATCGAGGATACACGCGTCGCACACTTTCCTCGGAGCACCTCCTGAGACCAAAGAGATCTTTGTCGTCGCGCATGTGTAACACACTTCTTTGTTACACATCGCGCACAGTACGGTGTCGGGGCACGACGCTCTTTTTAAGAATTTGCGACAGCACGCGCACTCGCCAATCGTGTTAATATTCTTCGGTAGCTTTTTAATAGTTTTGAATAGTTCTTTTAAGCTCTCCTCTATCTTCTGTTTGTCGCTTTGAGTATTAAAGTGAATAGTTATACTTTTGTCGTCTTTGGTCTTCATTTCTATTGAAGTCTCTTCGTACTGCGTTTTAAGGATGCGCGAAATGATCAAGACGTGGTCGACAGCAATGTCCTTTGGACTCTCAACACCAAAGAGGATTAAGTCGGAGAGTAAGAAGAGTGTAGGAGTCGTGTTCTTCCCTCCCCAATTCAACTTGACGTTCAACTTCATCACAAACTTCCTCCAAGGCCTTACAAACTCACTTCGTAAGTCTTTGGGTAATTTGTTCTTGATACTCAATAACGCACGACGTCTTTCTTCATCTGCTATCGACTCGTTGATACTCATCGCAAGTGACTTGATATCATCTAATGCCGTTTTCAACGAGGACTTTCCTTGATAAGAGTCTTCTGTGTGTTTTAATAAGTCTTCGAGTAACATTCTATACCGAGGAACTCGTTGAACGGGCATCACTAAGAATGAGTTCAAGTCCAGTTTCCCATTCTCAGGGCCTTCAATTGAGTTTCTGAGTTGTTCCAAGTAGTCACTGTACTTCGGTTTTGTATATAAGAACGTTGCTCTATTAAGGGCATACGCACTGTTTGCCACAAACATATTATAAGCCTTTAAATAGGGTTGAACTTGAATAAAAATGTTTCCAATAGTATGTGGGTATGACCCTTCCTTTCTTGCACTTTCAAATAAATTGACCAAATTGGAAGAGACGGAAATGATATCGTCCAAATGAAGAAACATCTCTTCAACGTCTTTTTGTTTAACTATTGGGGGTATTCGACTCGTCATGTCGTCATAGTATATAGCTTGACATGTTTGAAGACTTCTCAAATAAGACACCTCAGTGGTATAGATCTCTTCTAATATCTTATCCCGTTTACTCATCAATATCCACCTCTATTGCAATTCAGTTCCTTTATGTTTTCTATTGGTGTTTTGTGAATTCTAATTTTTAGAAAAACAAACTACTTGCTTTCATATTTTTAGAATACTTGTGTATTTCAAAAGAGGAATTTGTATTATTATTATTATAATTAATATAATTATTATTATTATATTATTAGTATCGACAAAAATAACTACATATCATCGTATCTCTTGTTATTCTTGTATAGTTCTTTTAGGTGTCTGAATTAAACTCTATATTGGTTGATTGGTTCGGCAACTTCAATAAAAGAGCCACTCGCAATTTTTGGAATATCCGATATCTTTTTTTTATCTTTTTTAACTTTTATTATACTTTTTTAATTATTATTATTATAATATTAAATAAAAAACATATCGGAACACAATTCAAAAACTACTTTAAAAAAACAATTAGTTTTTAAAATCATTTATTTATTATTTTATTAATTATTCATTATAATTATTATTAAATTGTTGAAACTATTATTAAAATATTAATATTTTTAAAAAACAATATTATAATAAAATAACTATAAAATAATACTATTACACGACATTAACTCTCTAACCAAATCAAACTATTAAATAATTATAAAATGAACTATACAAGACATTCATTCAAAATCAGTTAAAGAGGTTCAGCCAATGAGTTTCCCCACCACTTTTTGAAGACAGTTGCCAGCAAGACTTTGTCTCTAACGAAATCTTGTCTGTTACACAACACTGTATATATTCTTTTTCCAGCTGTTCTGAAGCTTGGCATATCGATGACTTCTTGTGACGGGAATTGTTTTAAATTGAGTGCCATTTCGCACAGAGCGTACCTAACTCTTCCTTCGTCCATTCTTTCGTGGACTCTAACAAATTCCTCGAGACCATTTACTGGGTCTGTCAACAACATTTCTTTGATCGCAACAACGCGGACTTCAAAGAAATTGCCAACAGCTGCCAACACGCTTAAATTCGCGAATTGTGGGGTACTGAGTACAACGGCTTGTGTCACGATGTTCCTATCCGAAGCGATGATTTTGTCCTTGTTCAGCACTCTTCTCAGAAAAGTTTCAATTCGGACATTTTCCTCTTTATTTGGACTATTGATCTTCCCCAAAGCCTTCACAACTTCTTTCAAAAAAATCCCGTCTTGGTAGCTGTTCTTTTCATTCGTCGAGTTCTCTGCTATTTCAAGTAACAGTTGAACGGCTTCCGGGTGGTTCACTTTACTCAGTGCTCGGGGTCTTTCTGTCTGTTTCTTCTTATAGACTCTTCCCCAATTAATTTTTTCGTTGATTGAGTGGAGTCTGACATCCGCAAACGCTCCAATGAGGCCCTTTTGAATTTCATATTTGAGTGCATTAGAGAAGTCGAGAGGGACTACCCCAATCGAGTCTTCATAGTAATTCGTCTTATAAAACGTTTTCAAGAGATTAAACCCTAAGTACTGATTCTCCTCACACGACATCCGAGCTATCGCGTGGGCTGCTTCTATTTGCACTTTATAGAAACATCGGTGGTTGTTAATAAGAAAGTCGTATAATGCTTGAATCCCCTTTTCACTGTTACACTTCTCAAGGCCTTCTATAGTCACCAATTGTCCTCTCACTGTCCTTACAAACTCTAATTGAGTCAGCCACATATACTCCAAGAATGATTGTTTATTCCTCTTAATCTTCCTTGGGTAGTCATTATCAGGGTCAATCTCAATATACAAAATCGCTACATCCGTCTCACTCTGTCCATTCCTCTTACAGTCTCTTGAGTCCAAATCATACATAATAGTCTCTCCCGTATCCGTTTTAATTGTTCGTTTCCTTTGTTTTCGAATTCTTGAATGACACGGAATGGATTTTAAAGTCTCCACTCCAGTCAATTCAATAGAGTCTTCTATAGTTTGTTCGACTTCATGGATCCTTACGGGAACGACATTATATCCTTTTTCTTTCTTCGATTGCCGAATTTTAAAATCAGTCTGTACTATTCGTTGTGTAAATGAGAAGCTCACAGCAATTTTAGAATACCCCGTCCCATCCACAATTCGTTCTTCAAATTGTTTCATCAATGACGAATTCTGCGTTTGCAATTCCTTCACAAAACTCCGCGTTTTTAAGTTCCTCTTTAAATCGTCGATCATTCCGCCATTATTAAAGACTTTCACACACACTAATCGCTTCATCCGATCTTTCCCTAAATTGTTCTCCATCACTCCCATCGCTATATCAACTTTCCTCCGAAACTGATCATCTAACTCCATCTCCGCAAAAACTAGTCGTTCCTCGTTATGTAATGGTCTCCCCCACTTCCTCTCTAACACTATCTCTTGACTTTTAATCGATTTGTATTTCACATAGTTCTGCCCATTCACTAACTTCACAAATTGCTCAGCTAAGTAATCCCGTAACCCTATCGTTATCCACTCATCACTTATCTTATTCGGGATTATATAATGCCCAACCCACTGTGACGCTACAGCACGACCTAAGATATATGACACTTTCCGATATCGGTCAGCATTGTCAGGTAAATATAAGATCTCACTGGATACTACTATAAGACCAGCAAATGATAAGGCCTCGGTGTGTGGCAATTCTTTTACCGCTATTACACTCAATGAAAAAGCTTCGGTCGTGCCGGTATATTTTCTAATACATTGAATAGCTTTGGGAACTATTTCTGAAAACGTGAATTGCGCGCGTTTTGCCGTTTTGTCATCAGCAAAAAACCCAACTTTGAGGGATGACTCAATTGGAAGCAATCTCGCACTCGAAATGACAAATCCAAATGATTTCATTGGGATTCGAGTTTTGAGTGAATAAGTGAAGATTCTCGTTTTGTCAACAATTTGCGGAACGTCCGGGGTCCCACTACATATAACAACAAAACTATCAGGAACGTTAAACGTCATTTGATAACAAACTAATTGAAAAGAATTACAAATACATGGCATCCACGAGGCGGTGTCTAAATACCCATCTAAAGTCATAATCATTTTGTCAGTGACGTTTTTCGTTTCGTACAATCCACTCCCGTGATTCGTTTTGTAACAAAATCTCAGAATATATGAGTTGTTCGAATCTATTTGCAGTTCGCTCGGCCATGTGATCGTCAATAACCCTACACTACCACTATACATCGAGACAAAGTTGTCATAGGTTGGCGTCTCATTAATCTGACAATCATTATTTAGTATCCCTGGTGACACCTCGAACGCACAGTTGACGACATTTTGTGGGGCATTTTGCAGTTCCAATGTCACTTTTGAGAACTTGAGATGATTGACGTGGAGAACTATCCCGCGTTTTTTTATAAATTCGACCGTTTTGTCCGACATGAGAAAAGTCACAGACATTTTCGCCTCAAGGATTAAGGCCTCTGGGTCAAACGAAAAATTCCCAAAAACCTCGTTGAATGAAATGAATTTGATCGGTTCGTCATCTAACTCCATCGTTTTGTCAAAAAGCGGAACGAGATCTTTTCACTTTTTGTTTTTTAAATATTGAAACTATATGTATAATATAGATATAGTTGTTTTCATGGTTTCTCAAAAAGAGAAAAGTAAAATAAATTAACGTCATAGTTTTAATTATTTCTGTTTTTTTACCGAGTTAATTTTATAATCATCAAACATGTAACTAATTATACCAATTAACGTTTATTTTATCAAATTAAATAAAAAAAGCTTGTAAAAAGAAAAAAATGTTAATATTAAAAATAATGTTAATTGAAGTGATTGTAAATAAGGCAGAACAAAGGCACAAATAAGTGAAAAAAAACTCAGAAATTTTGGTCAAATACTTGGAACCCTTGATAGGTAGTCGTTTCGTCTATCTTCCCAGACTTTATGTCTATGTCTCTATTATAAAACCTAACCTCTCCGTTCAGAGGAATATTATCAAGCTTGAGTATTCGAGACTTTGTTCCTTTAATCACTTTAAAGACTTTTTGTTCGGAGAACACAAACTTTTCGGCTCTTTTAGGTACGACACATACAGTCCCACATCCTCTATCATCAAATTTAATTAAAATTCCATTTAAAGTCTTGAAGATATTAAAGGTACAACTTGGACCAACTATTAAGTCTTTTTTCTCCAAGTAGACTTCTCGTGTTTTGGCATCTTCCAGGCGGATGTCGTAACAACCATCTGGGAGTGTTACAGTGAAAGAAAAAATAGGGCTTTGAATCCACTCGGTTTTTCGTTCTTTTTTCGTTCCGCGCATATTAATTGAAAGGACCGAACTCGAGACGATACACCTTCCCTTAACCGCTATTCCACCTCTTATCACGGAGATTGTGAGTTGAGTAGTTTTATTAAAAAGTTCAGGTGTTGTTGGGGTGTGAATTATATTCTCAGGATCTAAAGGTAAATCATTCTCGTTTGGGTAAACCGAGATAAGTGTAGGAAGTGAGTGTATTTGAGTTAAGAATGCCATTTAGATTTTCGTGTTTTGATGAGTTCTTACATTCAATAACATTCATCAAGACTTTGGTTTGATACATGATGTAATCTAATTCTTAATTTATTTATCTAAAAATAAAATTAAATTTGTTAATACTTATATTAATAAATAATTATTTTATTAATACAATGTTTGTTTTTATTTATATTTTTTTATTAATTTGTTTTTTTGTTTAAATTGGAAGATTATTTTGTAAAATGTATGTTGACTTTTTTCTTTTTTACTTTGACTTTTTAAAAAATTTGTTATCTAGTATTTTGATATTAATTTAATTATTATGACGGTCTATTTTTATTTTTATAAAAAAAATAAAAAAAATAACACTAAAATAGAACATTTTTTTTAATTTATAATTAAATATTTCATATTTAATTAAATTAATAGTTAATTATATAAATTGATTGTTTTTAATTAATCAAATTAAAAATATTAATAAACAAATAAATTATTTTTGATTTAGTCTTAAATTAAAAAAATAAACTATACTAGTAAAGTAGAAAAATAAAAAATGTCTTTTTGACATTTTTTCTAACAGGTAAAAAGAGATAATAATAGATGTGATTTAGAAAATGTTTATAATAAAAAAAAACAAGTTTTTTTTTCAGATTATATTTGATTATAATTTCAAAAAATAAGAATAAATAATAAGTTATTCAATTAGTACTAAAGAATAGTTAAAGTAATAAATTTCAAATGTGTTAAGAATAGGAAATAATACTTAGAGTCTAGTGTGTGTCGTAAGAAACATTTTAAACGTTACTATAATATTTAAATGAAATGGACAATTATTACAAAAGTATTGTCTTAATAGAATCACGTAAAATATAAAACAATGTATTATATTAATACATAACGTTCAAATAGTGTGTAATTTGTTAATATCAAAATCTTTAAATAACTTTATTCAAAACCATGAATTCCAAAAATGGTTTATATTTTAATTTAATCTAATTTAATGTTTTTCAATTTTAATTGTCAAAAAAATACCTTTTTAATTTTTTTGAAAGGAATTACTTTTGTTTGTTTCTTAAAAACACAAAATAAATAAATTAAAACAAAAAGAACCCAAGTATAACTGAAGAAAGTGGGATGAATACATTATCATATTCTGGGTATGAATAAAACTCCACTAACATACCAACGAACGCAAACAGAGTCGAGTAAAAGAAATATATTTGATGGAAAAGTAAATAGCACATAGCAAATGCTCCAATTCCTCCAAAAATAAAAACTGCTAAAGATCCTTCTAGTGTCTTCTTTTTTCCCCATGGTGTAATCAATTCTATTCTTCCTATTGTTTTTCCAACAACCTCTGCCATTCCATCTCCATATAATAACAGACTTGTACCTATTATGGCTGGCGGATAGTTTCTCCAAAAAACTAAAGCCATAAGAGAAATGTAACACAATAATTTAATGGACCATAAAGAAATTCTTTACATCATTTTCACGAC